ATTCTTCTGATTTAAATGAGAGTAGATACAGAAGTAAGTGTATGGGTTTAACGCTCCTATCAACACTATTAGTTTAATTAAGAGGTAGGCTCTTTGAATTTAACGTCCGTCTCCTAATAGGACCGGACCAAATGGGTTAAAAACTCGAGCTTCATCACGCTCAGTCGGGGATTCGAAACAGAGCCATCCACAATGTAGTCCAGCATGTCACCAAATGAGCTAATGGAATGCCCAGATGCAGATTAGTTATTTTACAGTACTTTAATACAGTTTATAGAGTATGCTGGCTCTTCGTTTTTATTAAGGAACCGCTGAACTTCCTCAGCATTGTTTTGAGGGGAAGAAAATACCAGTCCCGTTCAGTTACGCGAACAGACGGAGTGTTATACTATCGACATGGAGATACCAAAAAAGAAGAATGATGAAAATGAAGAGAAAGAGCCGGGGTGACATTCCTGGACAACCTTAAGTGGACACTGGAGACGTACGTAAAGAAAAGCGTGCGTAAAAAAGATAACTCCGGATACCAACGAAATTTTGGCAGTGTCATTGCCTCTGACTAATGCTTAGTTGAGTTTAGTTCGAGTAAAGAGAAATATACAGAAACGAAAATAATAAAATCCTATGAAAGAACGAAAAAAAAAGACAGATACGACAGATGGAGAGTGCAGAAATAGGCAGGACTTAACCAGGGGCGCTCTCAAATGCACCTGGCTCTCTGACTTCTCAATACATGAAAAACGGGAATATTCACAAACTGAAAATCGAGAGGGTATTTTAAACGCTTGTTGACTCATAACAGTATATTATTATTTTCTGTTCAACTGCTGGTTGATTATTGTTGTTAGATTTCCCATAAAAAAAGAACAATAAACCATCAATCAAACAAATAAAAGTTATGAGTCCACCAGCTTTTAAAATTTACACCCTCACAATTTCCAGTTTGTGACTATGAACGTTTTTTCCCATGGACTCTTCTGTCTATGCCATCATCTAAAAGGTTGACTCAGCAAAATCCAGCTCCATGTTTGATGTAATTAAAGATACTTCAGAGGACGTGGTTTCAATAATTTCAATGCAAAAGCTACGACGAAGTAATAATCTCACGTAAGAGAATACATGGGGTCGGCTGGCATCACATGGGTCCCACATCAGTATCAGAAATGACAAAGCATTATTTATATTATTTCCTTAAAATAATAACTACAGAAAGTGAAAAAAAAAAATACTAGTGAACAGAAATGAGTGCAAACCACATGATTATTCAACATGATTCATGAGCATGTTGTCTGAAAGTATTAATGTAAGAGTGATTTCTGGTGTGCTGGGTTTTATTTACAAAATATGGCCATGATACATGGCTACACATCGCCAGGAAACAAGATTAATAATAGTGGTTACAACAAATTTACACCACAGTGAATTTTAGAGCATATACAGCAAACAGAGATGGGTTGATTATTTAGACAAAGCCCATCATTTACTATTGAATCAAACCTGAACTGTAGGGGATACACTTGATCCCAAAGCCCATCAGCCATCCAAAAGCTCCAATCAATCACCTCAAAATCTAAAAATCCTATGATGAGTCATGTTGAAGAGCAGTGTCTTACACTCGAACGTTCACAGAACACGGAAAGGTATGTCCACGGGACACAAATGAAAGCCACATCTTTACTTCCTGGTGAGTGAAAGCCAGCGAACTAAACCACACGCTGGACAAAATGATGTCACGAGGGACGTGGTCTAACGTGATCTGACCTCACTCAGACACCTGTCTCAAACATCACATTTCCTGTTATCATTCAATTGAAATCCTCTCCTCCTTTTTATAAATGCGAAGCAAACAAAAACAAAAGTCTCATCTTGCGTTAGAAGGAGGCATCGATCCCTGATCAACATCTTTCATAAGATGCCTTCGAATGTTTTGTGAAACAACAGCCATGCAGAAGTAAAATATCAAATATACAAATAAAACCAAACACCAAAATCCAATGCTAAAATTTACAATACATGTACATCAGCATTCTCAGAACACACCTAGGTAGAGTTACCAGTCCAGTGGACAGTTATAACAAAAGCTTTTCATTCCAGACAAGGCAGCATTGTGAACACTTATAGGGAGCTTGATATCAGAGCCTTCTCACATATACTAAACAAGATTTTTGGAACGAGCTTAAACGTGACTTAGTTTTAGTAAATGTTTCACGGCCCCTGCAACAATATAAGGTCCTATAAATGCCGAAGAATAGAACTGTTCCTATTGCGAGAAAAATACAAAGAAAAGAAGGAGAGATGAAGAAGACGGATGTTTGATAGGAAAAATAGGAGCAAACCACTCCTAAATAAATGCAGAACCTCTCTCTCTCATTTATGCCCTTCTTCACTCTCACACACTCTCACCCCCCCTCCCCCCTCTCTCTTTCTTTCCCCTTCTCTCTCTCTCTTCTCTGTTTATTTCATTTCACCCTCCTCCCCCCTCTGTCTTCCTCTCTGCTCTGCTCTAAGGACACACAAACATACAATGTACGTGTCCAAAGACACCCGACCAACACACACACATATGCACACATTTTATATTGACTTCCAGTAAAATAAGAACATGATTCCTAGCACACGGTGGCGCTGATACAACCAGAACAAACATCAGAAACATTACAAACCTAGACACCCTCAGACAGCCTCATTACACTGTCACATTAACACATTTGTTATGTCACATTAACACACTTGTTCTGTCACATTAACACACTTGTTCTGTCACATTAACACACTTGCACTGTCACATTAACACACTTGTTCTGTCACATTAACACACTTGTTCTGTCACACAACACATTTGTCAACAATATCACCATGGCACAGGCATTTGATTCCTCAAGACCTATTGTAACAATATAGATATAATGGGAGTCCTGCTTACAAAATTACATTGCACATTATTACGAGTTTGCTCACGCCACCATAGACAACATTGTACAAGCAATAGATATAATATATAGGCTATATATATAGACATATTAATCGGTAGTGCGAGAGGATGTCAATAAATGTATGGTACCGGTAGGGTTTTTAAAAAAAATTATTTATTCTTGTACATCAATTCCTCCAGAGAGGTCTCATCCAGTTTGGCTCTGCCCGAGTGTAACACTCCACAGCCATATACAGTAAAATCCACAATAGTAGGTCTAGTCTAGTACACAAGTAAACAGGGATTGCTGAAATATACATATAATAGTATATTAATATATAGTTTTGCTTTTGGTGACTATTGTTTCTGTCTGTTCAAACAGGTGAAGCCACAAGCCCACACACTCTACATTCTCCTTGGTTTTTCCCCAACCAGATGACACCAGTATGATGTAAGATCTTTCCTCTCCTCCCCCTCGCCCACCCTCCCAAAAAAAGAAGAAAACAGATTCCATCAAAGCACAGGTGGGAATGTAGCCTCTACGGATGCTGTTAGGAAAGTTGTAACAAACAACATGGTTTGTCCCTACTCACAGCAGAAAAACCCTTCTTAGTTATGGCAGAAGAACCCTAACTTTTATAAAAAGTAGAAGAACCGTTACTCTTAGCATGTAGCAGAAGAGCCCTTATTTATAAATAGCAGAAGAGCATTTACTTAAAACAGAAGAACCATTACTTATAACAGCCCTTACTTAAAAATAGAAGAACCCTTGTTTTTAAAAGCAGAGGAACCCTTACCTATAAATAGAAGAGGACACCTCACTAAAAGCAGAAGAACCCTTACTTATAAACTTATAGCAGAAGAAACATTAACTCTATGCCAACCCACACTATGAAAAAAAAAAATTATCGTGGACTTCACAATAATACCCAGTGATAAATACAACAACACCGTCTTTTGCATCAAATTTTCTACAGCACAAAACTTGTCAAGCAAATAAAATTCATTTTCATTTTAATTATTTTGAAAAGGTGTTCTTTGCGACTAATCTCAGGACTACCGCTTTCATAAAAAGTGTCTGCTTCGTTAGAAAACACAACTGGAAACGTTTCCTTGTCCAGTCCCGTACTAGGTATAAGGTAGGTAACCAAACGGTAACAATGTGCTCAGGGACGGTAAAAAAAAAGAGTACAGTCCCTTGTGGCTTCCTCACAGTAAATTATATTGGGCGACAACTCCTTTATTTGTACTTGTTGCATATTACAAAAAGAAAATGTGGCACAACCAAAGGCAGTGAGTTGTATTATTTTTTTAAAAAGGAAAAAGATCATAATATGTTGGCAACATTAGGTGCAGCTACAACATTTTGGCCCTACAATTTTCTTTACAGAAGGCAAATTCACGCAAGTAAAAAAAATAGGGGGGGGAGGGTAAAGATATTAAAAGAAGACACAACAACAGTAAGGGTCTCCGTCTTGCAGAACAAAGGGAGACCCTTCTACTCCATACCCTACTGATCTGAAACTAAACAGAAAAAAAAAGAAGGGCAAAGAAGCATGACCTACTCTCAAGGCTCTCCAAACAGCTGAGATACTTTTCATACATCTTGCAAACATTTGATGCCAGGTTGTACAAAATATCTCCAGACCTCATTGCAAATGCACAAGCTCACACTCAAGCTATATCCTCCTGACTCACCTATGTATTGTGGCAATAAATAACACATGATATAGAGTACAGATATACTTTCTTCCTAACAAATATTCACCTAATAAATACATCCATCATCATGGCCAGGAACAGTCAGACAAATAGCAGATGCCAAGCCACATCAAAAAGAAGGTAACAGAATGCATTCCTAGCATGTAGCTGTCAACTTTTGCTGCAGTATCAACAGCTAACACTTACCAACAGCTGGCATTTTACACAATGTACGCAAGACATGTAACATGACAATTAATGTGTGACGAAAGCCTGATTTCAACCTAGAACTTTCCCAGGCTAGTAATACCGCAAGTCCTTGAGCATGTGCAAGTCTCACTCTCACACTCTCTCTCTCTCTTGCTCTCTCTCTCTCTTGCTTTCTCTCTTTCTTACCTCTTCCTCCCCCAATCTTTAACAATGATGGTGACTGAGAAAAATAATCTGGTAAGACATGAGGTATATGAAAATCATAATATGTCTTTGTTTGAAAATATATTTCAAAGGAGAAATAATTCCCATTCTTTTTTCTCCTTTCTTTGTGAAGGCATGGAAAATAAAAGTAGATAACTGAGTGAAAAAAATCATTAAGGGTCAGGGCCAAAAAATAAGACCATCTGCAAATATAGGCCCTCCATTTAAAAAAAAGCCTTTTTTTTCTGTCTTTTTTATTTGTGAGAACTTCACATTTCAATTGAGTTGGATTTGAGATAATGAAACTACAATAATCTCCATTTGTCTTTCCAGGCAATATTTTTTTCAAAGTGGAAGCGTCATATCCAGGGGCATGGCTCCCCTGGAGGAACAAGCATTCTTAGCCTAACTAGTAGAGGAAAAAAACTAGCGTACACACTGTACAGTCCCACTTTCTAACAGAAGTTGGTCAGTAAAGTACTCATGACAAGGTCTTTTATATGATGACCCAGATCTGTGGAAAAGCTCAAAACGTAAACAAAATGCTTTTATTTCGCATATCGTTTCAACAAATGTTGGTCACAGCCCTTGTGGGAGAATTGACACTTAAAAATCATCTCAATTTTTAAAATCTAATTAATAAAGAGAAAACATTGCTTATTAGAGGCTTGACGGGTACCATTTTTTATGTGTTAAAAAAAAAGTGAAAAGTATATAGTGTTTAAGATTAAAATAAATTGGTGCATTTCATTAGAAGTGAAGTCAGCCAGCTAAGTTCCAGTGAAAAGTCAACAATGCTACTCCTTTCCCAGTGAACCATCACATTTCCTTCCTTCTTTCTTTCTTTAAAATAACAACTGGACAAAGTGCTCTGTCTTAAAAATGCTCTATTTTGGACTAGCAGGGCATTACACCCTCACAAAAACAATCAACAGGTAAGTTATTTCACCAACATTTGAGCAACCATACTATTACAGATGAAAAGGGTTGAGAACCCTATCCAGTGCAAAGCTACACAAGAAGAGATGTCTTCAAAGTGTGAGGTAAACATGAACCATTAGGTGAATACTAACTCCTTTGGCAACTTGTAACATGAAAAAATGTCATTTCTTTGAGCATAAAACATTATTTATGCTTGTGTGTTTGCACAAACAATTTCACAATACAAAACAACGGTGGACAGGCCACCTGAGCAGGCGCACTCTAGCTTTGAAAACAACTAAAAGTACAAAAGAGAACAATCTGTTTTGTAGCGTTACCTGCATCTCCCAGTACGAAATGCAGTGCATTCCTCTTTACAATATTATTATACATATCAATGTGCTTTCCACCCTCCCTCCCCCCACCTTCCTGTCCAAAGAACAGTGTTATCCACCCAATAGGGCACAGCACTTTCCCTTTACAAAGAACTGAGTGGAAAAAAGAGAGCACATTGAGCCTTGAGTTTCTTCTTTCTGAAAATTTTTCTGACGTGATGCAAATGTGGTATGATTGAGGATGGGTTCATTACCCCTTTCATCACTGAGATGCAAATGTAGAAGTAAACTCATCAGTAATTAAAACAAATCAAGAGGTAGATTAGTAACATAAATATAATACACCCAATAACACTGTAAAATGTGACATATATTAAAAGCTTATCAACACATCAGCATGACGCAGGTGACAACATTTGAGGTTGAATTATGCAAAACGACTTATGAGTCATGACTAGTTAAATAAGACATTGCAGAGAAGGCCAGGCCTACAGCAAGTCTCCACACCGACAAACCACCAAACTGACTAATGGTAACAGAAACCTATCAGCACTGCATTGTACTGAATAGGGTTAAAACCCCCAATAAATAGCGGTAAGGTTATTTCAGAGTCCATCTCTAACAAGGACAAGTCTAATGGACAGGAAGCCCCCATTGGGGACTTCAACCAGAGTCATTGGCTTCGTAGCCCATCATGATAACAATCAAGCTGTCAGAGTGCCCAAGAAAAAAAAGCCTCAATAAAATACTACAATAAACAGTTGAGCAAACAAAGTTGGCAGTCTCAGTTACTAAACTGTCCCTTAATCAACACCATTTCCTTTTCTTTCTGTTTGCTCGAGGGTTAGAAGATTTACTACTCAAACCTTCCAGCCATAAAAAAAAAAGTCCAGGTGCTAATTAAATGGGGATTCCACACCTGTGATGAACACTACTATAACGTTTAACTCTCAGAACAAAACAGATAAAGAAAAACATGGAGGAGGTACCAAGTTGTCTTGAGCGATAACTTCAGCACAGATATTTTGTGCAGTATTAACATTATCATTATTAACACCATAATCTTCGCCACACCATAAAAAAACCCACCCCTGAGGCAAGCCTTTTTGTGTCAGTTCTCACAACCATAGTCTCCTCACAGTGTACACACTAGAAAAAAATGTGAACAGTCAGAACAGAGTAAATAAGCATCCTGGGCTTCAGCACAATAAAACTTTTAAGCCTGTGAGTCTGCTTTCTTCTGTTCTTAGTTCTGCTTTAACTTTAACACATCTCCATGGAGAATTTTGTGGTAAATAAAAAAAGCTTTTATCTTGGCATACAACTTTAGCTCCTTAGCCGGCAAATCCTATCACAATCCTCATCTGATGGCTAAACAGGTCAACACAAAGAATTGTACTGAACACCTTTCAAAATTCTACGGTTATTTAAAAGGCTGGACTCTTAACTTAACGCCCTTCTCCGATGCTCTTGAGCCAAAAGCTGGGTAGTGGGTGGAGAAAACTCTCAAAACAGCATGAAGGCAAGAAGATCCAGAGAGAGATACGAATCAGGGTTGTCTGCAACATACTTCAGCATGATACTGACGAGATGATATTGTCCCTGATGAGATGGGACTGTGTCTGGCCATTTGGGATTGAGCAGATCGGACCGTCCCTGACGAGATTGGATAGTTCCTTCTAAAAAGTTGGAATGAATGAAGAAGCACCGAGCAGTGAGTGAGTGGGCGACAACCCTTATCTAATTTGAGCCATACTGCAAGAAGCAGGCTCGCAGTTCCACTGGCCAGCATTGTCATTTGTGATGCTGTTAGGTAAAGAACTGCCTCAAAAGAGGTGTAGAAATATGTTAACACTTCTAAGGTGGTGTATCCAGGCGATCAAACAACTACCTCATGTTTTCTGTTTCTGTCAGAAGGAGGCTAAAAGTAGCTGATCTGTACATTAACAACAAGGTAAGTAGGTGGGTCCTGTTTGGCCATGTCTGTCAAGCTGAACGTGGCAGCCTGTGATGTGGCAAAAGGACATTTGCAAGCCTGGGAAATCAGCAATGAAACAGTCTCTTGCTTATTGCACAAGCATATATAGTCTTTAGCAGTCCACCTTTTGTTGAACCCCCACACACACGGAGGGCTAGGGCTAAGCACAGTAAAAAACAACTCCTGAGATGACACCGAGAATTATGCAAAATAAAACAATAACAAGTACAATAACAACAATATAGGAATGGTAACAAACTTTTGTAGAATTCAGCTCTCACATCAGGCAAATAGCACATCAAGAGATCCGACTGACATCCTGGTGACAGACAGTTTCAGGTTGAAGGTCAGGCACCCTTGATAACCACTAGTTACGGTACAAATATGAATACGTCCACACCAGAAACTAAATGCTAAGACTGACTGTTGAGCAGCATTGTATGATGGAGGCTTAAGTATAGTCTCCAGCTCGAAGGCAAAATATTTCACTTAAAAGCAAATGTAACATTCTGTTTTCATATTCCATACTGTATACTTCTTTAATTAAAATACTGTTAATTGTTTTCAATCCCCTGATCATAATGATTAGCTTAACAACAATGAATAATCTTATTCTTAAATCTTGAATATTATCACTTGAATACACAGATCTAGCAAAATAACTAGGTGACAAGAAGCTACAGGTGTCCTGTGATTGCCTTTGAAGTAGCCCAAAGACAGGTTTTGTTTAAGTCAAAGGTAGTATATTGCAATAATTATCACTATGCTGCAAGCAAAATTAGCAGGAAACGGGTGGATGAGCAAGTCAAACAGTGAGCCACTGTGTAAAAGTTTAGTCAAGCTCTACCAGGTGCACAAAGGCTCACACAATGGATTTTATCCTTGTCCTAACTGAATGAAGTGAATCTGATGACAATAAGACCATCTCCAGCACAGGGCACTTCATTGTTGGATACACCAAAAGACACTGTGCTGTAGACAGCCACATTACACACCAGTGTGTCACAGATACATGTACTGATGTCGCTACGTGATTTGAAACACAAATTAGGACATATTATGTCAAGAGCCTTCTTCATAACAAGAAGTGTCCGATACACATTTGTTATATCCCAGAGCAGCACATTCCCAAACTATTGGTGAAACCCGTTTCTTTTTTAAATGGTCCTGCAACAACACTAGGCAAGACTTTGACAGGAACTGAAACCACAAATCAGGTGGACATCATGTTGAGGTACATGTGTTGACTTCTGGTCCCTGTCAGAATACACATAGGAGTGTATACCTGTGTAGTCCCAAAGTGTGAATACCTCTAATCCCAGTAAAAGTTCACATGTCTATATCTCCAAACCAAGCCACAATGCACATAGCTGTGTATACCTCCAATCCAAGTCATAGTACACACAGGTGTGTATACCTGTAGTTCCAGTCAAAGTATACATAGGTGTGTAAACCTCTATTTCCAGTCAAAGTACACGCCAATCCTCTGGAAAAAACGGTGGTTGAACGGTGCAAAGAACTGCACCAACTTGGCCCTGACCTCAGGGTCAATGTACGGGTGTTCACGACCTTTGCTCTTGGCCAGGCACCGTTCTGACAGGGGTAGAGGGTCAAGGACAAAGTCTGAACCTGTTGTCATGTTTGCCTCCACCTTAACGCAGTAGAAGCCTTTGGTCTCGTTGTATACGAATAGATCTTCGCCAACCTGTGAACAGAAAGTGAAGTCTTAGTTTTATAGTAATTCATTTGAATCCAAAGGAGCACATTGACAAAATGTAGGGCCTCTGAATGTATTCGTTCTTTTGAGTACATATTGACTAATTATAGTCACTTGGTGCAGGGAAAAAAAGACAGACAGAGTTGAACAAAAGAGGAAAAGAAAGAAGGACCTACCAGCGGCACCCTTCAGCCTCCCACCATTAAGTCTCTGAGGACATAATGGATGCACACGTCCAACCAGCAGCAGACCAAAACCAATATTGCTACACATTTCGAACCATCATACACAAATCAAAAACACGAATTTACATATTTCACAATTTGCATGTTATTGACTGCATTTTTAAGCTTAGATTTTAAAAAAAAACAGAATCGAAAAGTCAGTATGAATAAGAAAGTTATACCTCTTTTTTAAAGTACCATATCCCAAAACAGACCATCATTAATAATGATTTAAGTGTCAGAAAAAAGCAAAACTGGCAGACAGAAACAACAGAGAAACAAGGGGTGAGGTATGACCTGCCAGTGCTGACCACCCACATGGGAATTCACAAAAGTGTAATGGTCAAAGCAGAGACTTGTAAAGCATGGCTCTCTTATACAATGAAGAATTTCCTTTTAAAAATTAATAACACACACTGAGGAATTGGATGAAGATGAGAAACTAAACCTTTTTGGCTTTGCCAAAGTAGAGAAAAATGCTAACACAGCAATGGTGGTAAAGAGTTTGGAAAAAAGCAAGACTGGTTGACAAAACAGCAGAGGGAGGGTCAATAAATGGAACCTAGTGCAACTACCCTCTCTCTGACACACATACACATACACACACACACACACACACACACACACACACACACAAACACACATACACTCATACTCAAACAAAATCAGACTAAAATTCTGTCTGTCTGTCTTTCTGTCTGTCTGTCTCTCTCTCTGTCTCTCTCCCTCCCTCCCTGAAATAGACAAACAACCACATACATACATCCACCTTCAAACTCTCTCATGCAAAAATAGTCTCTCTCACTGTTTGTCCTCTCTCTCTCTTTCTCTCTCTCTCTTTCTCTCTCTCTCTCTTTCTCTCTCTCTCTCTCTCTCTCTCTCTCTCTCTCTCTCGTTGTCTGTCCTTCTCCCTCTCTCTCTCCCTCTTTCTCTCTCTGCCTCTCTCTCTCTCTCTCTCTCTGTCTGAAACACAGTCACACAAAACAGTCTGTGTGTCTGTGAGTCCGTCTGTGTGTCTGTGAGTCTGTCTGTGTGTCTGTGAGTCTGTCTGTGTGTCTGTGAGTCAGTCTGTGTGTCTGTGAGTCAGTCTGTGTGTCTGTGAGTCTGTCTGTCTGTCTCTCTTTCTTTCTTTCTCTCTTTCTCTTTCTCTCTCTGAAACACAGTCACACAAACAGGGCATCCCACCCCCACGCCCCCCTCCCGTACCCCGGTTCCCCTACAAACAAACCTTATGTGAAAGACCCAGAAAGCTTTCCACCCGCGACATCTCCTCCCAGGGGCGGACCTTGATGTTCTCGCCGTCCACCACCAGGATCTGGGACATCTGGAAGTGGACCAGCCAGCGGTCCAGGTGCCGGACATAGAGCGACCGTTTGATGGGCGCGTACGACTTGTTGATCTCCCCGGTCTCAGCGTCCACCACGTAGTCCTCGAAGGGGGCCATGGGCTCGGTGTTGCCACTCTTGAAATACTTTTCCTGGAAAGAGACGTTTGTTTCTTGGTTTGAGTAAAGAGACGAACCCATCGACACAATAATGGTCATGTTATGTAAGGGAAAAGTTAGACAGGTATCCAGACAGAGACAACAGAGAAAGCTGTTGCCACTCTTGAAGTACTTTTCCTGTGAAGAGATGTTTGTTAGTTTGTTTGTTTGGTTGTTTGAGTAAAACGAAAAACAGCAACACAATAATGACCGTTCACTGTAGAGAAAAAGTTACACAGACGTACAGACAGAAAGTGTTGCCACTCTTAAAATTAAAAGTACTTTTCCTGTGAAGAGATGTTTGTTAGTTTGTTTGAGTAAAGAGATGAACACACCGACACAATAATGGTCATTTAATGCAGGGATAATGTTAATTTTTTTAAAGTTTTAGTAAGTGTTTTACGGCACTTGCAAAACAATAAGGTCAAATAAGCGCCAAAGATTAGAGGTGTTACAAGAGAGTAACAAACACAAAAAGAAGGTGGGGAGATAAAGACGATAGACATTTGATAGGAAAGAAGAAGCAAACCATACCAGAACACCCGCCAACCACCCACCGGGATAAAGTTAGACAGACAGAAAAAAAGAGGGAAAGTAAAGAAGTAGGACCTACCAGGGGTGCCCTCCAACCACCTACGCCCCATGAGAACAAAACATTGTTAAGGACTCTGAAAATACAACTGCAACATCAGCAACAACAACGACGACAATGAAAGCGACAACAATGACATCCCTTGGTTGAGTAAAGATGCGTACATCGACACAAAACAGCCATTTAGTGAAAGAAAAAAGCAAGACAAGTAGACAGAATACAGAACGAACAAAAAAAAAGGAGGATATACCAATCACACTCTCCAACCATCGCTACCTAACAAAAATAACAACAATCAGAGGGATAACATCAATAACAACAACAATAACAACAGCAACAAAACAACAGCAGCAGCAGCAGCAGCAGCAGCAGCAGCAGCAGCAGCAGCAGAAGCAGCCGTAAAACCGTCGACAGCAACAACAGCAACACGTTTGAATAAAGAGAAGCCTACCGAGGCTCATTCAGCGCAGTGATAGACCATGACAGGGGCGGCAAAAAGGTGCGTTTATGTATGGGGAGAACAAGGTTTTACAAGGGGTGCACTCCAACCATCTGCAGCAATAGCAACAGCTGTTGTACGCACAACAATGATTTTATTCATAATATATAATATTATGACAACAACAGCAAAATTGCAAACAGTAACATGCAGTCATTTGTCACCGCTAAGAGACCAGGCTTACTATTATATTATCCGTTTTACGTTCATAAAAATCATTAAAAAAGCAGGCACATCCAAATGCTAATTAGACAAAAAAACAAGCAGTACAGAACAATACTCAAGAATTTAAAGAATTTAGCCCCCAAGGCGGGTGGTCCATTTTTACAGTTCGTATTTTTATTGGCGAGCAATGCCATCTAAACTCCCGATGACGGATTTAAATGCCAAGGAAAGACAAGAGACAAACCATGTCTGCAAAACACCCCAAAGCCCTGGACATTAAGACCCAACCATAAATCTTCCAGAAACGATTTGGAGGGATACAAACACCCACAACCATAAGACAGCAGGACTTAATGGATTCGTGTGGACTAATGCAAGGAGGTACTTATGGCAAAACAGGATAGCACGCGGGACTTAAGTAGCCCCAAGCCACAGAAACAAGACTCTCTTGATTAAGACTCTTTACGAGACTTCTTGAGCCTGCGATCTGCACAAGTAGATCTAAAACTAAAGTTACCGAAATTCTATCTGCCATCTTAAAGAAGATGTTGGCCATTGCGTAATAGGAACCGGAGACGTGTTCGACAGACGTGTGCACACTCTAACCACATTGCAGAGCATATACATGTTTTTGTTTCAGTAAGCGTTTTACGACACTAATTGCAATACAATTTTGTCATATAAATGCTGAAGATTAGAGGTGTTACAGAAGAGTAACAAGCACAAAGAAAAAACAAGAAGAGATCAGGACGATAATTGTAAGATAGGGAAGAAGGAGCAGACCACTTCAGAGCATCCGCCACGAGCACAGACATTTTCAACATTCAGATGAAAGTTTTTACGCTGATCGAAGAGATTTTCTTCTCCCCATCGATAATGATGTTCAATTCCATTTCACGTTTGAAAATATAAAGTTGCAACTATAATATCACAAGAGAACATTGTTCTGATTGGATTACAGAGTATATGACGACCAAAACAAAATAACCATGATCATATAATTACGGGAGAAAATGGGCTTCACAAATTTTTCAGGATGCACTGTCGACCTATTCTGTATCAAGCTGGTGACGATGTTGATGAGCTTGGTTCGAACCCCGAAAAGGAAATTCTTGAACTTTCGTTTTTCAGACGAGCTTTCAAGGCTCTCTACATGCTTGGCCGCGTCCTATCGGAGTGGGAGATTTAATACACTGCTCTTAACAACTCTTACAGTATTAAAATAGGCGTGAAATCCACACAATGACAAACAAATGGTCACAGAATGTCATGCGTCTCAGGTACTGTCTTAACGAGCCCCCTGTGAAACGAGACACGACTCCAAGAAACACGAGAAATGTCTCAACAGACAACCCTTCCTCACAAACAGGTGTCACCTGAAACCATACCCCGACTAACTCGGGCGGAGGACGCCTCATATTTCTTGAGATCTTCATCATTACTTCATACTAATAAGTTCAAAGGAGAAAATGTACTGGGATTCTGGCGGTGGAGCTGGGGTTGAGGTCTTAATGAGCGACACGAATCGGATGACTTACTTCCACTTACAAGCAGCTGGATATATGAGAGCCCTTGGTCTGACAATGACATTTCCTAACAATGTGTCTCAGGACAGACGAAGATCTGTGGTGGACAGCGTTATTTGTTATGTGCCCATCGCAAAGACGAAAAGAAAAAGCAATTCTCACGTAGGCTGTCACAGGCTCATTAGTTTGTCGATCTGCAACATCTTTTTTCGATTACTGATTTTTAATATTAAAAAGTAAGTGTTTTGACACCTCCATCGACACAATTTAAGTCATTTAGGAAGCGGGCTTCCTACTCTGCCTGCCTACAAGGGTCAACCCTGGAGAAGTACACCATCCAAGCAGAAAGACGGAGATACTCAATAAAAATTTCTCCCCATTCGGAAATCGAACTTGGGTCTCCTGCAAGCATCATCGGAGCACCTAACAGCTACGCCACAGAAGCCCGTTCATTCAAATTGGAAGTACAAAGTGTAGCATAAAATACTGCAACGCGATCATGTCAACCCCGAGGACCGAGACCGCACGATGGAACAGGCCGGCCGACGTGAGGAAATAATGTGATGCCAAGTGAACCTCTATCGTTTGAGTTTGTGTGAGTAAAGAGAAGCACATTATCGACATTATAATGGTCGTTTTGTGCTGGGAAAAAGGTAAATCAAACAACAGGGAGAAAGAAAAAAGCAAGACCTAACACATGCGCCCTCCAACCATTCGCTGTGACCTTTTAGCCCAGAAGGATTTGGATAAATGAATTACAACATTGCTCGCTTTGCTTGTTATAGCACAACCTATAAACACTCTACTAAACACAAATTTTAATACGCCAAACTCAACGCGAATCGAAACTGTGGGAGATAGAATTTCAATTTGAGTTTCTGTTTACAGCAAAAAACAAAACCAATATAAAATGATAGTTGACAAATTTTGACTCTCTGCTGGTGTCAGCACGACTCAAACGCGCCGTACTATAGTGTGGTCAAAAATTCGCGGCGCGATTTATCCTCAAATATCTCTTAAACGGATGAACCAGTGTCACTCATACTTTGCACAGCAGTTTGAATTAATTTGTATTAACTCAATCATATTTTTCCACAACAATTGAAGCTATATGTGAGGCAGCGTGGTGGAATCAGGCTCTCGTCAAAATAATCAAAGTGAAGAAACTTGCATTTTTCGGCAGGTTTGTGAATTTTTATCAAATTCTTGCTTTTTGGCACACCTTTCATGCCCATTAAAGAACTCATTTCTGTGTCGGATTGCTTAAAAGCATAAAAAAATGTAAATCTTCAGTTACCACGGACTGTTAAGCTAAGGGAAGAACTAATCTTTGGTGGCCATTTTCTCACTAATTTTACCTCTGAAAACAGGTGACCCCCACCTCATTCTGTTGCAAATATCTCGATTTGCATTCAAGATAAAGGGACACTCTTTGCATCCAAAATAAAGACAAGTGAACAAGCTTTAAAATGATACCAATAACTCTAAATGCCCAAAAATTGACGAGAGCCTGAATCCACCACGCTGCCTCACATATAAAAAATCTTTTCTCCCTGAATTTAAGTGAAATACTATTATTATATCTCCGTCACGCAGAAAATAGAATTGTTCACAGCACGTCCCGCTTCTCACACACATTTTGCATACGCATATGGCCTACGCCACAGCTCACTAATGACACTTTAGTCTACGTGTCCACCAAAATAAGATCATGTCCAGGCCAGGCTAATGTACAAAGTTTTTGCATGGTGTAGAAGCGACTGAAAAAGATCCGCGTCCACCGACATCAGACGAGCTAAACCTATTTTTAGCCCAGTGTGTTATGATTACGAGAACAACAGACAGCACAGGCGATTGATTTCTTTATTTACCTCTTTAACAAACTAAAAAGCAACAAATTATGATTATGGGAAAAATTGTTGATAAGTTGGGAGGATGAGAAGAAGAAAAACGAAAGCTGGGACTGGGATTCGAACCCACGCTCACAAAATAATGTTTGTCTTCAAATGCAGACACGCTGTTCACTCGGCCATCAGAACTTTCAACAGCGAAGGGTAGATTAAGCTTCATATTTACAGCACTGTTTCAGGAAAGGCAAAGCGACATATATCGAGATGTAGATCTAGGCCTAGATTTAGATCTAGATATATAGTCTCTGTATCTAGATCTATTATTTTTACAACGAAGACGGTGAAAATGTC